ATCACAGCTATAATATTCCTTGTTAAGATTGCTTTCATTGTTCCATAAACTCTGATATTTTATACCAACTTTATCATTTAGTTCTAGAAAGTGCCTTATTTCTTCCTTGCTTTCTTCTGCAACTCATTGATTGAGTATATTATTTTGTTTCCATGCATTTACATCAATTCTGCTTATTATTTTACCATTGATTTCTAGTTTCACTGTGCTATGATCTAATAATATACATAATTTCTTTTCTTTTGCATTTGCTTAGGATTGCTTTATTGTTAGACAAGTGTCCTATTTTGGATAAAGTTCTGTGCTACTTAAAGGAATGTGTATTCTGTTTTCTGAATAAAAATTTCCATAGATATCTAGTACGTCCATTTGTTTGGAGGTTTGGCTCAACTCTGACATTGTTTTGTTAATTTTTTTTCTAGTTGATCAGTTTGTGATAGTGGGGTATTGAGGTCTCCCACTCTCATTGTGTTTATGTTTATCTTATCTTTTATGTCCAGTAGTACTTGTTTTATGAAGTTGGGTGTGCCATTGTTCATTGCTTATACATTAATTAATTGTCATCTCTTCTTGTTAGACTGTACCCTTAACCAATATGTAATGATTTTCTTTGCTTCATTTGATCAGTTTTGCTTGAAGTTGTCTGAATATAAGAAAGCTACACCTGATTTTTTCTTCCAAGTTTCCATTGCATGGAATACTGTTTCCCATTCTTTGATGTTTAGTGTATGATTTTCTTTGTGGATTAAATATGTTTCTTGTATGCAGAATATTGGATTTTGATTTTGATCCATTCTGCCAGTTTGTGTCCTTTGATTTGGTAATTGAAACCATTCATATAGGCATTAACTTATTCCTGCATTGCCTAGTTTTCCTGTTGCTGATGCCTTGTCTTTTTGGCACACAACTGCTCACCCTGCCTTCTGTATTCATTCTATTAGAGTTGTTGTTATTGTTAGCTTCATTGTTTCTTTCCAGGATATTTTTGAAAATTAGTTGAAAATTTGGAAATACTATTTTGACCTATTGGTATCCATGCTCTTCAAATAGCTCGATTTGAAAGGAAAATCAAATTTACTAATTCTCTTTCTTTTCAAGGACTCAATAAACAACTAGTTTCTCTTTCTGGCCCCCAAATTTTTTTAAAAATGTATACTTTTTCATGGCTTATCCTAGTATAGCCTACTCTACTTTAAATATGTTAACAATTTCTTCACACCATACTCGCACCTATCCCTAATGTGATAAATTAAATCAATATGCATGAACTGAAATATCCAAACTCTGCTACTATGAAATACTGTACCAAACAGGTACAGCACCAAGATAAACTGCTATTGCCCAGCAGAATCCCAAGGAAAGAGATTTAACCCTGCCATTGTGCAACCAATCACCCATCTGTGTTACAGGACAGCTTCTTTACCATTGTTCCACAGGTTTTACCACTTGGGGAGGCAATGTTAGGGATTGAACTCAAGGTATTATATATGCTAGGTAAGCGCTATAACACTGAGGTAATCGTCATCCACAAAGCTTACATTTTTATAATTCAAATTATTTAACTGGTGTCTTCCTTTCATCCTTTTTAGCCTTGTCTCTTTCCTTGCTAAGCTTATTCTATCTTTGGAGACTGTAGAAGCATTGAAAAGGTATGTCAAATGGATCTTCCAATCCAGTGGGTTCTTGGATGGCTTAGTTTTCTCATGCTTAGGAGATACCAGACCTGAAAGCTTGATTCTTAAGACCTCTTAGAAGATGCGTGTTTCCATAAAGAATCGAGCTTTTTCTGTCCGTATATCCCCATAAATTCTTAAGAATACGCTTTCCTGATTATAAGCACAAGGCTTTAAGAAAATCTGTTTTAAATTTTTCACCTTAGCTATAGGAATTATGGGTGAAATTGTCTATTTCTAACCAGAACTCTGCATAGTACTAGGTCAGAACATAAGTGAACATCATTTTCATTCATCTCATTATTCTTTTGTTTGTTCAGTCATTTACTGATGCCTGCCTCTGTCTACCTGGCCTGATCTACAGTAGCCACCTCTTCTCCCTGCACTATAGACTACACCTCCATTACAGGGCCTACTTGTACCTCTTGTCTACTTTTTGTATTAATTATTGGCCTGCCTGGGACCCTGTCTTCCAGGTCAAGACAGCTTAGCCAGACATATATTTTTTTATATTAGTTGTCATAGTAAATTCTAAAATTTAATTAAATTACCTCCTAACATTTCTGTATTGAAAGAAAATAATCATGAAGAAGTTTTAAAATATTGGCAGAAATTTTGCTCCTTATACTGTTAGTAAAAAACAATGTAATTATCACTTGCAACTGGTTTATTTTTTTTTACTTCCTATCATAAGAATTTTTTATAGGATCAATTGTCATTGTATGACAAAAACACAGTTGAAACACACCACATATTCTTTAAGTTTTGCTTGTGGGATGAACTTCTAATATGCATTCCCTGTGGTGAAAATCCTCAGTTAGTGTGCCTTTGACCTTGTACTAGTAGGGGGAGGGTGTTAATTACTACGTTGCCATGAGGTTTATGAACTGGCATTAACATCTCAGCAGGAAAAAGGTGGCATAATGGCCACTTCTGAGAATGGATAAAGAAAAATATCACTACTTGCACACTTATTTTTAGCAGCAGAACCTCTTTTTTTTTTTTTCTTACTTTAGTGATACTAAGTATTATTTTTACAGCACCTTATTCTGTTAGTAGCAATAGTGATCTTACCATCCTTATTATCTGTGTAATTCGAACACAAATACTTTACTTCTTGGAGTACAAATTGAAAGTACTTGGTTAACTATGTTAATTCATCTTTTAAGTCTATGATAGCCATGCTGTGGTCCACACTTTGGAGGTTTGTTGATCACAGCTGGATTTTGAGAGCACTCTCAGCAGGGTTGAGAAATTAATTGCCTACAGTACTTATTTCAATCATTTTTTAAAAATCTTTCCAATCATTGCCTACATACTCCTTTTTTTGTGAGTACAACGATAACATATTCCAAAGTCAGCCTTTTCAAATTAATTGCAAGTTGTGTTAAAAATATGATAAACATTTAAATTAAAAAATTCATTAAAGAACAAGACAGGTTGCAATTAATCCCCCTCAAAATTCTTCTCCTCACCTGGAATACACTTATCCCTCACTCTTGCCACTTTCTGAAGCAGTTACAGAAGTCCTTTTGGTGAGTGTTTCTAGCTGGGCTATTGCGACTGCCTCTGTGTCCTGAATTGGTTGAAGTATTTTGTTTTTAGAGTTATTTTAGGGAAGAGCCACGAGTCATGTGGTGCCATACCCAGTGATAAGGTGGAGGAGGGCTACCGTTGCTTTCACTAGCCTCCCTTTCCATCACATGGCACTCATCAGCACGGCTTACTGTATTCTTGATTAGGCTTCATAAGGGAAAGTAGACTTTCAGAACGACCGCAGAAAGTGATAACAACGATGGGAATAAGTGTTTGAAATGTGGGGAGGGGGCATTATTTTGAGGGAGAGTAATAGTAATTTTCTTCTCACTGTAAGAACAAATTTAAACATTCTTTTTTTCTTCTTCTTTTTGTATTTAGGACAGGGTCTACAGGGTCTCACTGCACAGATCGGACTTGGCAGTGATCCTCCTGTTTTCAACCTCCCAAGTGCTGGGATTACAGGCTCGTGCCACCACGCGCAGTCTCAGTTACCCTCTCAGCGTGCCCCGTGGGCGGGGCCAGCACAGCACGCAGGAATTGAACCCCGCCGCTGCCCTGTGTCTAAGCAGGCACTTTAGTCGGCTGAGCTATCAGGCTGGCCCTAAACATTCTTAATATATTTTTGTCACAATTGTATTACTGTATTTTGGGAAATTTTCCTGGTAGAATCTGTGCTGAGTGTTCTGTTTAAGAAATTTTATTTAGAGCCATCAGGGAAGTTTTAATAATACATCTAAGTGTTTTAGATCAGAAACTGGAAAAATTTGATTTTTTTTTCAGTGAAAATTAAAAAGAATACATGTATTTTAAAGCACGTTAGGAGCCACCTCCTGAGACTTAAGTATTTACTGCAGCCTTTTATGGAAGCAGGCTCTGGCCTGCGTGAATGTTAAGTGAAAGGGGCAGAGGATTAAAGCGATGGGATTACAGGACATGGTTCATGATTGGCTTAAGAGGAAGGAGCAGCAGCGCTAGAAACAGCCTGTGCCGCGTTGGCCACATTGCTTGTTGCACATTTGTGCATCGGATGAACAAAAGCCCTGAGTCCTTGTAAACGCCGCGCCACCAGGGAGTAGCATTGCTTCTGTGGAAGAGGGCGATTTCTTACGATCATCCTTAAAGGAAGAGAGAAATCACATTGGAAATTTACAATGGAAACCTAGTCACTATTATTCTGCAGATATTTCTGGATAAAAACAAGTTAATTAAAGAAAAAATATGCAATGAATGAGCTCCACATATAGAGGTTGTAATATAAGCCACCAGAAGAACTACGCTTACCATTTGTCTTCTGCTTTCTCTTTCACTCTGCCCTTTTGTTGGAGCCTGGGGCCTTTGGTGCACCAGTTCCTACTTGTTGAAGCCTGGGGCCTTTGGTGCACTAGTTCCTACGCTGCAGGCATTCTTCAAATACTGTGTTTTGTATTTACAGTGACCAAATAAGCAGGTTTTGTTCTCAGTGAAGAGATTGCATGTGTGGACACTGAGGGATGTGTCAGCACATGACTGGTGTTAGAGAAGTGCTTACTGAGTGTGAAACCTTGCCTCTTCCTTAGTATCGATTTCCCTTAGTATTGATGTATATCATGCAAGGGGAGAAGAAAATCAACCACTCTTAGTGCATTTTCACTGTGTTCTAAAGATTAAGAGGTTTATATTTTGTTTAGTCTCTGGCACCCAAGATAAGGAAGGGTTTGTAGTCTATGAGGCTTTCGCTGGGTGCATAGTAATCCTTAAAGTATCTGAAGCCAACTTCTGATTTTTTTTTTTTCTTTTGGTTTGCGAAAGCTGAAAATAGAAAACTCTTCCATGAACAAGAAGTTGAAAGGTGCCTTGTATCCCTTTTGGGTTCGGAAAGCGATGGAACTAAAATCGCTGCTTCCCACGCTATATCAGCAATGTGTCAGGACACAGGCAGCAAAGAGTTTTTCAATACTCAGGGTAAGCAATGGTGAACTGACCCTTTGCGCCTTTGGTGGTTACCTGTGTTATCACGCAGAGACTCCTTGGCGTCACAGTTCTGCCTTTCTTTACCTGTAGGGATTCCAGAGTTAGTGCACTTGCTCAGAAGTGACAACGAAGAGGTCAGAGAAGCCGCTGGCCTGGCCCTGGCCTACGCGACCACCTGCAGTCCTGTTAATGCAAAGTAAGTTGAAAAACCTGGACTCCACCCTGGCTGGCTGTGGAACAGTTCACAATTTAAGAGGTCTTAACTGTATTTTGGTTTTTAAGATAGTTACATATTTTTTTCAGATAGTCTTCCTTGGGTTATGTTTTCAGGATACCCTATGAAAATAGAGTTATTGGACTGGCTTGTTTTCCTGAGATTATAAAATCTGGACTTTCTGAGTTTGTTGTGAAAATATGCAGGTCATTTGATTTGGGCAACAGGCTAATTCTTCCAGAAGCTTCTAGTCCAAGTAAAACTGGATAATGCTCCAAATATTATGGACAACATTACAAAAAACAGCTGACCAATCTGGAAAGAATTTAAAAGGTCCATTTGAAAGGATATATGCTTTAGAGGAATATAGAAACATTTTAAAAAGACAATTAAAAGCAACATATTAAGGGCAAATACTGTGCCATGAAGAAAAGTTGGGGAATGGGAATGCCCTCTGCATTACAAGAGTACAATGTGTGGTTTATATTCCTTTCAAAAGTTAATTCTCAGGGGCCGGGGAGATGGCTCAGTAGAATAAGTGCTTCCCTGGCAAGCTCAAGGGCCTGAGTTCAATCCCCGGTTCCACAAAAAAAAAAAAAAAGAAAGAAAGTTAATTCTCAGAATAATCTAATGACAAATAAGGACACTGCAATTTGCAGGCTTATCTAATCTTCCTAGATGCGCACATTTATTAAATAGCTGAAGTAGAAATTCAACATAGGACTGTCAGACCCCAAAGTCTCTATTATTAGAAGGTTATAGAACATTGGCTTGTAAAATAGGAAAAGTTTCTCAAAGGTAAATTTCATGTGTAAAATAATTATTTGTCCTCTCTATATCTCATTTGTATGTGATTTAACTTTCATTTATTATTATTTTGTGACATTGAGGCTAAAATTACTTTTTTGAACTTGAAATGAAACCTTCACTTCAACTGTCATGTACTTAATTTATTCCTTAATCTTTTTTCCTTTCTGTACTCCCACACAAATATTTTATAAGACCTTAATGGAATGACTAAATACCTAAAAATGTCTGATTAAAAACAGCAAGACCACATGTTCATCAAAACAAAACTCTGCTTTTTCTTATCAGCTACAGTCCTTAGCGTAATAATTTCCTAAATTAAGGGTCATGATTAGCTCCATGAAAGCAAAGAATATTGAGTCACAAGAGGTAGCAATTTAAAAATAGCATATTCAGTGATTTCTCCAGTCTAGTCATACTATTGCAAAAAAAAAAAAAAAAAAAAATCTTATTAGCAGTACTAAAACACTCCTATCTCCAGCCCATTTAGAATTATATGTATCTAAAATACTTTAATAAGCCTCCAAAGCATACAAAATGTTTTGCTTTGATGTAAGTTTGTTTGGCTTCTGTTACTTCACAGTTTTGATTGTCACATGAAGTCAGACAGTTATGATTGTAAGCACATAGTTTAAAAGGGTCTGCCTTCACGCTTTTTCTTTTAGTGTAGCTATTTCAGAGTTTTGTTCATAGACTACAGTTCTGTATTTGTCAACAAAGGTTTGATGCCTGACTTCTCTGCTATGACTGACTTTACTTTATAATACTATTCTTATTTAATGTGTGATAAAGTTGTTCTAGATATTCTTTGATGTCTATATAAGTTTTTGTTTTGAACTTTTTGAGCTTAAAAATAAACATTGAAAATGTTTCTGAAGAGCCGGATTTGGCATACTTGTGCCAGTCCTAAATGAAGACAGGGGTTGAAGAAGCTTGTCTAGTCAGTTAGAAGTCAGAAGGAGTGACGCAGATAAGGCCTACTGCAAGCCTCCAAAGATTTGACTGACCACATCCAGACAGAAGCCACGGCCCAGCCGACCGGTTATTTTTAATACACCATGTTTCTATGCAGATCATCTTTAAAAAATGTAAAGTAAGCTCAGCACTGAGGAGTGCTTCCAGAACCTTTTGAGAAATGGCTTCCTGGCCATTTGTGCTTACTTCAAGTCTGGGCTCGCCGCTGGGGTGGTTGAGACCAGGGTTTTCTGAGTACTTTTCTGTCACGCCTAGCAAGGAGAAGAGGCAAAACTGAAGACCGCTATGTGCATTTGGCAGCTGTTTCCTGTCTGCTCATTGCTGGCCTAATGAAATAAGCACTTACGCATGCAAATGCTAATTTTAGTCATATTATAGTGCAACACATCTTCCACACTCATATCTCCATAGGCATGGGATTAATTTATGGTTCAGTGTGGGCATCTTCTGGAATTGAGGCTCATGTCACAAACTGAGTAATCGCTGTTGTGTTATAGTAACAGAGTGTACTGGTGTAACTTCCTGCATGTGATGGGCTTTGGCCTAGAAAGCTATGAGGACAACAAAAGTTTCTAAATTGAAGTGGGAAAAAAAATCAGCCAAGAGAAAAAGAAACAATTTGTGGTGACAGGTTTTGTAAAGATGACAAATGATAGAATGGGGGAGCATTTATGTAACAAACAGAAAACCTGGCAAATGCTTTTTTTTTTTTTTTTTTTTTTTTTTGTGAAACTGGGGATTGAACTCAAGCCCTTGCTCTTGCCAGAGAAGTGCTTATTCCACTGAGCCATCTCCCTGGCCTCATTTTTGTTAAAAAATATTTTGTTTTTTAAAAATATGCACTTTGGGAGGCTGAAGCAAGAGGGTCACACACTGGAGCCCAACCTGGGCAATTAAAGTAAGACCCTAGCTCAAAATAAAAAAATTTAAAAGGGCTAGGGATGTAGTAGCTCAGTGGGAAGGCCCTGAGTTCAATCCACAGTGCTATGTAAAACAAGAAAAAGAAGAAAAAAAAAGTTTTTATAATCTATCTATAAATTAATTTATTGCCTATAATATCTGACTTTAGATTTTTTCTGCATCTTATTTCTCACAATAAGGAAACACATTCACATAAGAAGATAGTGCAACAATGAGAATTTTATTGCACTGGTAAATATCCACACCTCCATACACTACACATGTACATATAATAGGTTACCAGTCTAGGTCGGGCTCCACTTTGTGACCATCCTGCTTCAGCCTTCCAGAGTGCATTGTGGAAGGTTTTCAACTTTCATGTCACTTGAACATCAATGGTTGGAGCCAGAAGACCTTCCCTATTTGGGACTCTGTAAATGAGGCTTCGTAGAAACATTTTCTGGACAGTTCCAAAGTTACTTCTTCAATTAACAACACTTTAAATTTTTGTAATGAGTTTGAATTACAATTTTCTAAAATCCTTCCCTTCTAGCTTTTCTGAAGAAGTCCACTGCTATCAGGCTTTGGGGAGGAGGCCATAGACATCTCTATAAGACCGGAAGGCGTCCCTGTCTCCCATTGTCAGCCCCTTGGGCACGTGGGGGTCTCTGCCTCTGCTCACTGGGTGCTGCTTCCGGGAGTACCTCTGGGCTTTCATGCACCCTGCTGACCCTGCATGGTAGGGCTGCTGCCCCTTTTCATGCAAGGCATGGATCCAGTGGGCAGAGCCTCTAATGTACCCCCTCCTGGAAGCTCCCTTCAGATCTTTCTGTAGTTAAAAGCTTGGATACCAGGTACCCTGCTTTATCACATTTCATAGGAAAGCCCCAAAGCAAGCCTTGAGGCTTCTTTGGCATATTTCTGCTTCTCAGAGGCCATCTCTCCCCTGGGCCCCATGCATGCTCTGGAAATGTTTCTATTGATGTTCAATCTGATGTTCCAGTTTTGTATCACTGAATTGTCATTTAAAAAGTTACTACCAAATACGAATCTCTTTACTTACAAGCAAGCTAATACTGTGGAGTAAAATGATAAAGAGAAGAAAAGTAGGCCATTAGGTATGTTCTGGAAGTACATGCAACTTCCAGTTTCGTTCTGCCTAGACACCTTTGTGCTAACCACTGTCTTGCCTGCATGCTTTCTGCTGGGCTGTCCTGGGGCTCACACAGTCACCCCTCCAAGCCACTGCTCAAATGTGCCCCTCACGAGAGGACATCCTTCATTACTGCAGAGTTTTTGGTTGCTCCACACACATGCACACTTCCAGCCTCCTTCCCTGCTGCCTTTCCTCCTGCCCTCACCAGCACCCAGAAAGAGAACATCCTTGTTCTATGTAATTCACTGATGAACCACAAGTGTCTAAAAACAGTGTCCATCTGATGGTAGGGCTGGGGCAGTAGGCACACCAGAAAAACTCAAGCAAAACTAAAGAGAGGGTAATAAATTAGGAAATCTATTTCAAAGCTTAGTGCATCTACAATATCCATAACTTAAAACAATCAGTGTTGATTTGTTTTGGGAAGGGATAAAATTTAAATTTGGATCACAAAAGACAGTGAGAAAAAACAGCAAGTGCCTTCTCTTCATACCTTTCATTCTCTATTACCTCCAGAAGATAGGTCAATAGGAAGAAATATGAAAAGGCCATGAAGAAGGATAAAAATGGCTGCTTGAAGGCCATTTAAGGAGGGCAAAAATAAACCAGGTGATTTCCCCTAAATCTCATAGAACCTTTTATCCCCATTTCCTTGGTGTTTATTTTTTTATTTTTTATTCTCGCTTTTGACTTCCCACAACAGCAGTGACCCAAGAATCATTTATTAGAAGTGAAAAATAGGAGAACATGAGTCAATAAAAAATGAAACTATCTGCCCATCTAAAAGAGTACTTAAAAATAAAAATCAAGACACAGTAGAGGAGGATGGCGGCATCCGCGGCGCTGATCTTGCCTGACAGTCCTAGTATGAAAAAAGCAGTGTTGCTGATAAATGAGCTAGATATTGGAAGATTTCCACGATTGCTTACCTGAAGTCTTCAAAAACTCCACCTGAAGGCTGAGAGCAGTTTCAGTGAAGATGAAGAAGAAAAACTTCAAGTTGCATTTTCTCTAGAGAAACAAGATCTTCACTTGGTTCTTGAAACCATATCATTTATTTTAGAACAGGCAGTTTATCACAATGTGAAACCAGCAACTTTGCAGCAGCAATTAGAGAATATTCATCTTGAACAAGACAAAGCAGAAGCATTTGTCAATACTTGGTCTTCTATGGGTCAAGAGACAGTTGAAAAATTCAGGCAGAGGATTCTGGCTCCTCACAAGCTGGAGACAATTGGATGGCAGCTTAACCTTCAAATTGCTCATTCTGCTCAAGCAAAATTAAAATCCCCTCAAGCTGTGATACAACTAGGCGTGAACAGTGAAGATTCAAAGAACCTGGAGAAAGTTCTTGTGGAATTCAGTCACAAAGAATTGTTTGATTTCTATAACAAGCTAGAAACTATACAAGCACAGCTGGATTCCCTTACGTGATGTTTTTGAAGACCGGTTTTTCCATCACACTCCTGCCACCCCATTATTTTGCATTGAAGAGAAATTACCTCGCTATGTTTTCTGGAAGATTCAGTGACTTTCTTTCTTTTAAATTAGGTGATTTACCACTTCTTAGACAAATGATAACCAAGGAAAATCAATGTTAAGAGTTCTGAGGTTCTAATATACAGTATACTTTGTCTAGTTCTGTGAGCAAGTAGCAAATGTTAGGAACACTTTAGTTTGAAATAAATCAAAAGCCAGTCGTATATTGTTTTTGGCCTGTCATGGCCTCATCTTTATTCCCTCCTCTGTCTATTGTTTACGTGCTTGATGTCCTATCAAGGACAGTCCACATACAGAAGGTAGAATATATACCCTGGCAGAATACAGAACTTGAGTAATTATATTAATAACATGAAACAGTCACATACAGTCCAATATGACTTTTTTCTCATATAAGGATATTTTGCTTGAGAAATAATATAGGAAAGAAATTTAAAGTAGCACTGATAGTAGTCTATCAGTTAATTCTAATGTCAGCTTTTCTCTCTACTTTAATTTTTCTGATATTAATGATTTTAAAATAGTGCAGGTTTTTATGTGCTTTTCTTTGTAATGAAAATTAATGATTTGCTTTATAGTGTAAGACAGATGCAGATCATGAATAAAAACAATTGTACTGAGTAGTAAATGGGCATCTTTAAAATTTCAGATCTTTTATATTCTTTTCCCTGAATATGTTAATTGATTTCACCAATAAAATTTTTGTATTTTAGAATTATTTGAAAAAAAAAGACACAGTAGAGTTTTATGTAACATGCAAATCGTTTAGCTGATCGATTAGACCCCTTCTTGGTACATTGCTGATCTATTAGATGATTGTTTGTAATACTTTTTGGAAATGAGAGGCTATTCACTTTTTTTATTTTTTATTTTTCAAAATTTTATTGATAAACAGCAATGAGATAGTTTCAAATCAAATGGGAAGTACAGTTTCAACAAATAACACGCTGCATATATTCTTCTTAGTGGTTAATTTTGCTGTACAAGATGCGGACTTGAGATCCTATTTACAAACACCATTAGAACAAATCATTCTATTCATTAAGAGAATGTAACTATATATCTATCCC